AATTTACAATGAGTTTTTATAAAGAAACAGAATTTGAAAATTTTGTATTTTATTAATATTTCATTACAATTTTTTCTCCTTCAGCAAAATGACATCTTGTACGTATAATTGTTTGATGAATGTAATTAACATTGGAAACAGTATCATTGGAGTGAGCATATTAGCTATGCCGTACTGTTTCAGGAAGGTATGTATTCTAGTTTCTTTCTGATACTTTTTATGAAATAATTTTAATGTTATGAAGAAATATATTTTGAGTAAATGCATACAATGTATATAACTGTGATGTTCCTTCAGTCATATAATTCTATTCTTCTTTAATCAACAAAATCAAATTTATAATAAAAATTGCGCAGCAGAGTACTAAATAAGCAGATTAAACTTCATGATGGTGCAGAAGGAATGTCTCTTTCTCAAGTAGTGTAACTTCAGTGATTTTTCATTATTAAATACAAAGTCCGTAATCTGGACTCGTTGAGACTTCGATTTCAGGTTAGGGTTTTTGGTAAAAGTATATTTTAAGAGTACCCCTTGGCGATTTTTGGTGGTACATGGATACTGAGTTTGTGCAATGCTTTGACTTGTTATTTTGGCCTGTGTAGCGGCGATTTTTGGCGAAAAAATTGCCACTACGCAAGCTCAAATAACAAGTCAAAGCATTGCACAAACTTGGTATCCATGTACTCATTGACCTATTTCCATTTTAAAAAAATCTCCGAATTGCACAAAAATAACATTGTGCTCTCCCTTGACTTTATCCATGTACACATCGACCTATTTTCACTTAAAAAAAAATCCTCGAATTTCACAAACTATGCTTTACACACTCTCTTGAGTTTGTCCATGTACACATCGATATATTTTCACTTAAAAAGTCAAAGGAGCACCCAATTCTACAGTAGAGGCAAACAAAAAATACATAATCTCAATAAGCTGCATTTTAAACCAAACAATAAAATAACACAAAAAAGGAAAAACCTGTTATGTATTTTAGCACTACACAAAGCATAAATCCCCATACCTTATTTAGAAATTCGTTTATCATCAGTCTGTGGCATACAAAATTCCTTAACAGCATCCAAAAACTTCCTAAAATTATCTGAACTACAATCCGTATATCCGCGTCGTCACAGAAATTAACAAAAATAAGAGTCAAAAATATACTATGTAGTTCCGGACTATGCCTACTAAGTAAACCTTCATTTACACAATTAATTCACTCAATTAATGCACTTTTCCCCTTTCGTCCCAAATCGTACAGAAACTTCAAATTACTTCTACTACATTCAGCCATTGTACCGTCTAAACAAGAAAAACATGACTCCTAGCAACACAACACAAACCTCAAAACCAGACTCAAATGTCCAGAATAATGCAACATCATTAAAGGGTTTCATAACGTTCAAATAGGTACATAATGTACACTGCGAAAAACCGAAACAATTGCGATAATGAAAAATGCATCAGCATTTTTAAATGCTAATCCTCGGTTAGTATTATTTATAAAAGCCTGGATGCTTTTATTATTTATTATTTTGATTATTTTAGAATTTTATATATTATTTTGCTTTTTCTTGCGAATTAGCCTTAATTGCTGGTACGAGTGATACCACGCTTTACTGATACTGATTTTCGCGGCGCTTTATTTTTGCGTAATTATTTTTAGCATTTTTTACTAAAAAATTTGATTTAAATTTACTGCGTGCGCGTAAATAATTTGATTTTGGTCGTTGTGTCTACTTAGTTACCCCCAGGCTCACGCTGTCAGGTGTGAGATAGGGGCCTAGTAGACTTTCGCCCGCTCATCCGTCTGCCGGAACACCGTCGAGTGGGTCCGGTTCCGGGGCGCGGGACTCTGGATTGCTGACTTGGGCGCAGGATTGCTTGGATTTGGACTGCGATATGGATACGATTTTGGAAGCCGTGAGGATTCAAATTAAAGAACTAGAGACTATTCGCCTGCAAAATGGCACTTTCACAGATACAGAAGGTAAGATGCATAACTTCTTACTGAGTATGTTTGATATGCTAGTTGTAGTTAATAAGCAGTTAACACAACAGGATTTGAATAAAACACAGCAAAACACGTCATATGAAAGTAAAGCTGAAAATGATAGGGACAGAAGCCCTATTAAAATACATAATAATTTTGATTCCTTAAAGGAAATTTCCACAAGTTCTGACGAAGATCTTCCTAAAACTAAAGGTGACCAAACTGTCAGAATACGTACCCAAAGACCCAATGCTAAGAAAATTAAGATTGGTAGTCCTGCTAAAAGTACTCCACAAAAACCACTAAGTCAGGAGGGAAATTCTGATACATCAGCTACACTAGTAGCAGCCAATGAAAACACAAACACACAAAATAATGAAAACATGGATACTATTACACAACCGGATAATGATAACTCCACTGCCACAAATAATCCAAAGCAAAATAATAAAAACTCCAAAATTCCCCCAATTACGTTAAGAGAAAATTTACTGAAATGGAGGGAAATAAGTGATATTTTCCTTCAAAAACAGATCAAATTTCACGGAGAACAGATTCCTAATGGGAGTATCAAAGTGATTACGCAAACTCCAGATGATTACCGGACAGTTGTCCAAATTCTCAAAGAAAAACATGTGGAAACATCATTCCTATATCCTCCCAGAGGACCGATACTTAAAAGTTGTCCTCAGAGGACTCACTGTAAACTCCCAGATTGAGGATATTAAAAACCGAATTAGAGCAATTAAATTACCAAATAAAGGAAAGTTAAACAAATGACCAGACGCCGCAACGGGGAAGTCACTAAACTTCCGCTGTTCTTAATATCTCTTCCAAAAAATGAAAAATCTAAAGGAAATCTATAATGAAAGATTTCCTTTGCCATATGAAAATCAAAGTTAAAGAGTATTTGGGGAGACAAGGACCCCTGCAATGTTTTCGTTGTCAGGGGTTCAATCATACACAGGCGGGTTGCAATTATGCACCCAAATGTGTCAGATGTAGCAAAGAAGCACTATGTGAAAGACTGCCCTGATAGAAATAATAGAGACAAGCCTCCGGTTTGTGTAAATTGCGGGGGTTCCCACACTTCCAGTTTCAGGGGGTGTGAGAAATTCCCGAAAAGAAAAACAGATAAACCAATCAATTTCCCCAGTAGGGTTATTGAAAACAAAACTTATTCGCAGGCGCTGTCCTCTGGACTTTACTCAGACATTTTAAGTGAAGCGAAGCAAGTCTTCACTGACCTGGCGGAACTCGTTTCCGTTATAAAAACTGCTGGTTTTCAAATTTCACAGCAGGTCAGAGGAATTCAAGAAAATAATCAGGAGATAAAAACTTCCTTCTACAATTGTTAATGGGTCAAATTAGACCTACGCTTGCTCCTATTAGATCATGACATGGAATGCTAGAGGCATTGCTTATAAAATTACGGAACTTTCTAACTTTTCAGGGTCATGATATTGACGTGGCAATGATTACGGAGACTTTTGCTACGCCGAGTACCCAGATGAAAATTCCGAACTATGTTTGCTATAGATGCGATCGACTAAGTCACCGAGGTGGGGGGGGTCGCAATTTTTGTCCGCAGCTCCCTACAATCCTGCCTTGATCAATGACGAGCGATTTAATGGACACGAGCTGGTCACTCACTGTATCTGTCCGTCTGCCGCACTATGGGAATGTGTATTTTAACTCTATGTATAATCCTCCGAAGAATATTCTCGATGTCGATTACTTAGCAAAGATATTGGATATCAACAAAGCAGGTCATTCTTGCGGGTGACCTTAAATGCAAAGAATCAAGAATGGAATTGTAGGAGGACTAATAACAACGGTATTAAATTGTCGGAATTCATAAATAATTACCCGGTTTATTTACATGTGCCGAGTGAGCACACTTATTTGCCCAATAACGGTAATTCGGGTGATATACTTGACATCTTCCTTTCCACCATCTCACTGTCTTTCGGCCTAGAGGTTTACAGGATCTGGACTCGGATCACTGCCCAGTCATTGCGACTCTTGGCACGACTAAGGAAGTCATGGAAGCGCTTATCAATACGACGAACTGGAGGGAATTTAATGAAATACTCTCAGAAAGTCGCACAAACCTTATGTTACGCACTCCCGATGACATAGAGCGTGCTGCGAGGCAGCTGACGACAGATATACAAAACGCCTATGATGCGGCCACCAGAAAGATTCCCAGAAAATCACATCACTAAACTAGAATTAAAAATCTTATCAGAGACAGGAACAGGATCAGAAAAAGGTTTCACCTTACCTATGACCCAAACACAAAGAAAGAGATGAATAGGCTCAGTAGAGAAATCAAAAAACAGATCAGTATATACCGTAAGGATCTCTGGGATGAAAAGATAGAAAGCTTTAATGAGCCAAGTAGTTCCTTTTGGTCTTTTGTAAGACGTTTAAAAAATAAGAATACCGTAAACAGACCAATTTATCATGAGCATGGAATTGCACTTACAAATAGTGAAAAATGTAACACGCTTGCTGAACATTTTGAAAAGCAGTTTACCCAGAACACCTCACCATCTAATCAGGATTTTTCTACTTTAGTAAACTCCACTGTTTCTGACTGGATTGATAATTATGATACGCAGAGTCATCTTGAGCTCACTTCGCCCCATGAAATACTTAGCATCATCAAAAAACTCAGGAACAGAAAGGCCCCCTGGGCAGGACAATGTAAATAATGTGGCGCTTAAATGGCTGCCTATTAATATGGTCAACCGGCTCACAGGAATTCTAAACGCTTGCCTGTATAACAGTTATTTTCCACAAATTTGGAAATCTGCTAAGATGATAGTGCTCCCTAAACCGGGAAAAAAAAAATCTTACGAAAACGGAAGGGTACAGGCCCATTAGCCTGTTACCCAGTATGGGTAAAATACTAGAAAGAATTGTCCTTAGCCGTATTCAGCCTCACATGGATAAACTACCTCTAGAACAATTTGGTTTTAGAAAAGCACTTTCCACGACTAAACAGTTGGTTGCGACTCAACGAATTCATTGGCAGTGCTCTGCACAACAAGAGATATGTTGCCTTACTCATGCTAGACGTGGCGAAGGCGTTCGACCGCGTCTGGCATGAGGGGCTTATTTACAAGTTAATCAGCTTAAAGTTCAGTGATGAGCTGATTAAAATTATTATTCTTTTCTGACCAACAGGACTTTCCACATTCAAATTGGAGAAAGTAAATCAATTACGAAACAAGTGAAGGCCGGGGTCCCACAGGGATCTATTTTAGGGCCCGTACTCTATCTATTTACGTAGCAGACTTACCTGCAGAACACCTTGATCAAAACTTCTTCATGGGGTGCTACGCAGATGACACAGCTTTCGCTGTCAAGTCTGGGTCACCGAATTTTGCCGTAAAGAAACTGCAGAGATTTATGCCCAAGCTGGAACAATGGTGCGCCAATGGAAAATAGCAATCAATGCAGACAAGTCCAAACTACTGATCTTTAAGAAAAACAAAATGAATCATCCCTTGACAACACAGCTGATGCTCTTTGACACTGTAGTGCCTGTTGTCAAAAGCGCTACCTACCTCGGACTAAAATATTGTTCAAATTTCCTCTGGAAAGAACATATTAACTGTATTAGAGGCAAAACTATTGGAGTCATACGAAGTCTCACGCCGCTTCTGTCTGCGACTTCCAGATTAGATTTAAAGAGGAAAAGACATATATATATAATTCTATCATACGACCTATTTTTGCATATGCCTCTCCCGCCTGGGCAACTGTTCAGAAGAAGGAGATAAACAAGTTACAAATCATACAAAGTAAAGTATTAAGGATGATCGCAAATGCGCACTATTATGTATCAAATCAGACTCTTCATTGGGACCTAAAAATGGAGACCGTTGAAATGTATTTGCATAAAGCCAACGTTAAATTCTTTGAAAAGGCGCATGAATGCAGTCATATGGAGAATCTTAACGTTCTGAATTATATTGTTCTTGAGGAAGATGTATTGTTGAGACCACTAGCGGCCCACCTCGCCCGGGACTTAAATTTCCCGACGTAAACTATCAAGAATAGTTTAATATGTATATAGTGTATATAATGTATATAGTGTATTTAATGTATATATTCTTATTCGGTTATGTATTAAGTTGTATGCTGTATGATTTATTTGTATCACTATTTTATGTTTTTGTAATAATTGTGTATTAGTGCATAATTATATTTATTGTATTATGTATTATTTCAGATGTCATATTGAAATTGTTAGATGTTGTCTGTGTCCTCTTGTTGTAAAACAACACATACATGCTACGCGGTTTCCTCGCGGCTTCCGCTTTGCGAATTTCTTGATGCGTGCGCCACTCGAAGGCCTTGCGACGCTTGGTCGCCCCCTATAACCACCTTTGACCTCTTTAAATTGTCAAGAAAGTTCAACGTCATGCACCCTTCGGGCTTATTATCAAGAGCTGGACAAGTTGCGCAGCTGCGCGACATTTCGGCAATAGCCGCACAGACTAGACTAGACTAGACTAGACTCAACCCTTCTAGTTCCTGCTTTCCTGGCACTTGAGTGAGCGGTTTCCAGCCCCTTCAGAAGGATGCATGTACCGGGAATAAACCTTGGCGATTTGCGGGATGGCTGTTCCTGAATAAAATTCCTTGGTGCCTGTCTGCGGGATGATTGTTTCGGAATGAGTTCCTTGGTTCACATCCATAAAATGATTGTTCCAGAATAAAGTTCCTTGGTTACAGAGGCTACCATCTGAGTGACTGCTGTGGGCGGCATCCATGTTCTTCAATGAAGGCGGCAATTAAAACGCGGCGATTCCTCGTGCAAACGGAGTTAGGCCAGTTTTAAGTGCTTTCAAGAACTTGATTTAAATTTCAGGTGTTTTCTCAACCATTGATCATGGACGTTTTGAATGTGTAGCCAACTTCATTTTTAGGCCGCATAATTAATGTTTAGGACATTTTTGTTTGTATTGAATGCCAGTGTT